GGCAGCTGATCAGTGACTCTCATCATTGATGTTTCTCTCCCTCTCCCTCTCCTTTCCTCTCTCTGAAATCAATAAAAACATATATATTTTTTAAAATAAATAATACAGGAGTCTGTTTCTGTTTTGCTTGTAAGTTGATTTTGTTCCTGAGATTCCACCTATAAGTGAAATCATATGGTGTTTATCTTTCTCTGGCTGACTTATGGCTCACAGGCTATAAAATGAGAGAATTTTAATGAGGAGCGTTGGGGCATCCAGCAGGATCACAAATCAACCATCGGCTCAAGAGAGAGAAAGAACAGATAAAAGAGATCCTGACCTCCAATTCAGCGGTATTTTCTGCAACTACCTGAGTTGATTCATGAATGAAATGGGCTGAACTTGAGGCCGTAGCCTCAGGATCACACCCCAACTTGAGAATTCTTTCCTTGGATGGCTTAAAAACCTTAATTTGCTTTGAATACATCATGGAAATATGCAAAAGGTAGGAAAGGGTGAAAAATCTGCCTGCAGTCCTATCTCCCAGCCCCTCCGACCCAAATTCACCAATGCCCTCCTTTAAAATTAATAGACTTTTTGGGGGGAACAACTTTAGGTTTTTAGAAAAACTAAGTAGAAAGTATGATGCGTATATATGCCCTCGCACCCCTCCCAACCTTTCCCCCTATTATTAACACTGCTCTAGTGTTGCACATTTGTTACGGTTGGTATTGGTTATTATTAGCTAAAGTCCACCTTTTACATTAGGGCTTGGTCTTGGTGTGCGTCCTGTGGGTTTTGGCATAAGTGTAACGATATGTATATATTCCATTCTGTGGCATAGTTTCACTACCCTAGAAACCCCCGATGTTCTACCTGCTCATCTCCTCTGTCCCCAAAACCTCTGGCAGTCGCTCATCTTTGCACCGTCTCCCCAGTCTTGCCTTTTCCAGAATATCATGTAGTTGGAACCTTTACAGACTAGTTCCTTGCCCTGGGCAATATGCATGTAAGATTCTTCCATGTCTGTTCATGGCTTGACAACTTGGTCTTTTTCATCGCTGCATAGTATTCCGTTGTCTGGACGTACCACAGTCTGCTTACCCATCCACTGCTGAAGCATATCTTGATTGTTACGTGTTTTGGCAAATGGTGAATAAAGTTGGTCTAGACACCCGTGCAGGTGTTTGTATGGACATAAATCTTCAGCTTATAGGAGTCAATACCAAAGAACTTGATTGTTAGTTTCGTAAGGAGCTGCCAATCTGTCTTCCCACCCAATGCATTGTGGGGTGGTTTGAAAGCACCCATTCGTTAGCACAATAGGTACTTAGTGAAAATGGAGACCCAGGCCCTCCTAACAGCTCCCGGTGGACATCAAGGCAAGGCCTGTCCCCGTTTGGAGGAACACAAGACTGCTCTTAAGAGCATGACCTCGACCAAGCTCCAGGGGTTTGCTTCTTGCCTTTGCTACTCGCTTGCTCTGTGACCTCAGGCAAGTTACTTAACCTTCCCAGGCTCAGTTTCCTCAGGTGAAATTAGGCTTGGTAACTGGACCCAGACACCAGAGTTCAGAGAATTACCTGAAATATTCCATGTGCGTCTTAGGACACTGCTTGCTACAAATAAGTGCTCAATTAAATGTTAATTATTTTTATATATTCTTACAAACCCTAGCATCTTCCCCCCACAAATAGCCAGCACATTTTTTAAAAATTATTTATTTATTTTTATTTATTTATTTAGAGAGGAAAGGAGAGGGAGGGAGAGAGACAGAAACATCAATGATGAGAGAGTCATTGATCGGCTGCCTCCTGCACGCCCCCTACTGGGGATGGAGCCCACAACCCGGGCTTGTGCCCTGACCAGGAATCGAACCCTGACCTCCTGGTTCCTAGGTGAAAGCTCAACCACTGAGCCATGCCGGCCGGGTGCCAGCACATTTTTTTTAATGATGAATTTCTATAACAGTACATTCAGGAGCACCGACGATAGACAAGTTCGATACACTGTGAAATCTGGTGAGAAAAAACATGCAGCAGCTAAAATAAAAGGAAACCCAAATTAGAAAGGACCTGTCTTGGACTGCAGAGGTTTGGGTCCATGGAATACATGTCCTCACTCTGTTCCCATCCCTGGCTCCCCTTAGTGAGTTGCTTCCTGGAAATCCTGCGGGGCAAGTCCCGGATTAGGGCAGTTCCTCTCCCGGGTGGCCTGCCAAAGCCTGTTCGCAGACACCAAGCTAAACTGGCACTGGCTGGTGGAGAGCCACCTCCTTATCCCGAGGGCCTGACTCATCCCTGCCTGTCTTTCTCAGACAACTCAATCCACAGGCAGGTAGGTGGAGGGCCATTAAGCAATCCCAGTGGTAATGTTTTTCCATTTCTTTGGGCAATTCTTGCCTGATGACATAATGGTAGGTGTTAACAATGAAAGCTAAATGCACTGGAGCCACATCTCTCTGCATTGGGTGTATCTGGGAAATGAACAAAACGACAGGAAATCCCCTCATGGGCATCTCTTATTAATAATCGATGGGCCCCCACGATACCCACGTGCTGGGGGCAGTGGAAACACCTGAGTTAGTCCACCGGCTGATTTGCCTTCGTGTTATCACGTAACGAGTCCTTCCGTTATAAATGCAGGCGCAGGGCTGAGGTGTCCCGAGGTCAGAGGTGGGGAACAATTTATTTACTCAACGCTCGTGACTCTCTCGCACACATTTCAATGAGTAAATGGCAAAATGGGTTTCCTTAAAGTATAGTTTTTTAATTTGAGGTTTGAAAATCTTACAGGAGTTTCCTTAAGTTATCAAATAATTTTGTCTTGACAGTGATGAAAGTGGAGGAGGGTAGAGGGAGGATAAGTGGTGATGGACACGGAGACTTGACGGGGTGGTGAACACAATGCAATAAACAGAGGGTGTATTATAGAATTGTGCGCCTGAAACCTGTATACTTTTGTTAACCAGTATCTCCCCAATAAATTCAATTTAAATTTTGGCAAAATTCTAGAGAAAATGTTGCCTTTGGATAGTTAAACATTTTATTTATGATTTTGTTTCATTAGTGACTCATGCTTGAGGTGTCCATTTACTTAATAAAATAGGTGTTTATTCTAACAAAGATTGGTCAGAGCCCCTTTAAGCCATTGCCCATAGGATCTAAAAGTCCAAGCTGTACAGAGCTAGAAGAGGGTGCGTGTGAATAGGAATTAGATAAAAATCTTAAAAAAAAAAAAAAAAAAAAGCTTTCCATGAATTTCCCTTTTCTGTGCAGAAAAATCAGGAAGGTGAAAAATTTAGGAAGGACATTGCACAATAGCATTACAGAAGAGAACAGGATAGGGTCATCTGCACTGTGGTCTCCATCTTTCGTTTGCTCACCTTAAGGAACATAGCTCAGGGAAGCCAGAGCTCCAGAGCTGGGCACGAAAGTGAGTGCAATGTGGATTCACTCAGGACAAGAAATTTCGAAAGTTACCAAGTCTGGGCTGCAAAGTAAGAGAGATTTACTTAGGCATTAAAGATACGTGCCGGCCAGTCAAACTGATAGATGCTCATCACATTGTCCCATGAGAGACCGGGCCACTCAGAGAAGCTAATGTGCAGGAATTTTAAAGCAAGTTATAGGAATGACTTCTCCTGGTAGGATTCACTCAGGAATTTGCTGCCATGGGGCAGCTGTAAAATCAGTCACCGAGTTAGATTTTTCAAAGGGGCAGGAGAATGTATGACCCAGTTTTCTGGCCAGTAGGAGGTGGTAGAAGAGGTCCATTGGCCTGCTTCTAGAGGATCACAGTTGATTGTAAGTGGGGTCAGCAAAAAGATGGCCCCCATACTCGATCAGGGTAATTAACACGTGTTTGCCCATGTGCACATGTGCTAGAAACCAGAAAAAGAATCTAAAATATTAAATGACAAATGTTTTATGACAGGGACAAAAAGAAATTTGAACAATACAAAAATCCAACTCCAGGAACTAATGAAAGAAAGACCTACAATATTTCTTGGAAGCATTTCACTTACCTCCTAGAATATGTAAAATAGCATTAACCTTATAGTCTTTTGAGTGCATACAGCATGTATACTGGGCTTCGTGGTGGGTGATGGGAATGGGAAAATAGAAATAGGTCAAGCAATTAGAAGGTAAGGGTGGTGAGGTCAGGAACTGATTCAGGCCCAGCTGGTGTGGCTCAGTGGTTGAGCAGCGACCTATGAACCAGGAGGTCAGGGTTCGTTTCTTGTTTTCAGGCTTGATCCCCAGCAGGGGCCATGCAGGAGGCAGATGATCATTGACTCTCTCATCATTGACGTTTCTCTCTCCCTCTCTCTTTCCTTTTCTCTCTGAAATCAATAAAAAAAAATAATATTTAAAAAATAAATAAAATAAATTTTTTTAAAAAAAGAACTGATATTTCCATTCTACCCATGGTTGGAAGATGTAGTCAGCGGAGGTGGAAACGTGGAGCAATCCAGAGGAATGACTCAGGTCTTTAGTCTTTTTGAAATGCAGGTTGAACCTACACTTAGAGATCTGCGATAACAGCTCTGACAAGAGTTAGCACATTCATACGGAGCCTCTGCTAAGTGCCATCCATGCATGATGTCCTAACAATCAGCAGGGCCAGTTTCCCAAGCACTGGCCATCTGATTCCTGGGTTTTTCCTCTTCGCATCTAGCCAGCACCAACGCCCTCACCCCAACTCAGATAATGAAACAGAGTGGGGAAAACCTGAGGTCTGGAATCTGCAGGTTCACATTCACTGTCAGCTGGAGTAGGTCACTCCATCCCGATTTCATCATATACGATACGTGATTATCTGCCCTGCCTGCCTCCCGAAGCCCCGTGACGTGCAAGAACTCGGGACACAGGAACGTGCTAAGCAAATAGCATTGATGGGATTTCTTTACGAGCACAGTCTGTTGATGGATTTGTAGGAATCGAGTTGGTATTTAGGGAGCATTTCGTGTGTGACAGCTGAGACTGATGAAATAAAAATGATGGGTTCTTCCCCCACAGATAAATGGATGTTATCTGAAGAAGGCAGTCGCTGTCCCATAACCGTGCGCTCCGGGCGTGGGGACCGTAATTGGCACCTACGGGAAAGCAGACTATCAGAGACCACGCTCCCCTTCTGAACACAGTTGTGCTTCGGACCAGCACTGCGTACAGATTAAGCAAAGGTAAATCCACCTGAATGACAGGGATTTCCTGGGGATTAAAAAATACGATCTTATCTAAAAAATACACCAGCATCTCACTGTCACTTCTTTGGAAAACACTGATCACTTACAACATACATCCCGACCCCCCCCCCCATATATTTTTCTATATAAAATGAAAATGTAGAACATGTTATCTACCTCTGTCCCAAAGCTCTGGGAAAATCTAGTGTTAAAAAGAAGATGCCCAGCCCAGCGTGGCTCAGGGATTGAGCATCGACCCATGAACCAGGAGGTCAGGGTTCGGTTCCCCATCAGGGCACAGGCCCGGGGTGCCGGCCCCTGGATCCCCAGCAGGGGGCGAGCAGGAGGCAGCCGATCCATGACTCTCATCATTGATGTTTCTCTCTCTCCCCCTCTCCCTTCCTCTCCTGGAGAGAGAGGGAGAGAAAAGGTAAAGTGAGACCCAATTTCATCTACCGGATTTTTCCCACCATCCTTAGCATCCCACATAAAATGCCACCCTTGACTATCTTAATTTATTTTCTCTCCTGCATTTGCTGAGCACACACGCACGCAGCTGAGTCCTAGCACAGGTATCTGTGATTTTTCTGTCGGGCGTCCAGTCCCCTTTACGTAATAGCACCTCGATTTTCCTCTGAAACTCTACCCCCTTTCTCGTTTCCAAGTGCTTCCATGTCGGTGGAGCTGACCCCACCCCGTGTTTCCAGTGACTGGCCCGTGACCTGAGCCTTTCCAACTAAAATGATGGTGATTTTTTTTTTTTCAAGGCTGGGCATGGAACCCAACCAAGACCTCTGGGTATGTCTGATGTCACCACTGAGAAAGAAGCTGAACCAATTAAGTTAATAATTTTTGAGATGCCATTTGAAGAGACTCTACTCGAAAATGAAACAAACACAAAGACAGAACCGAAAAATAAATAAGTTTCTTAAAAGCAACCTCCACAACCCCAAGGAGGTTCACCAGTTGTGCAGGGTTTCTGTGGTTATCAGGACTCTGACCGCTGCTCAGGAACGGAAAGTAGAATTAAAAAGAGATCTTGTAGAACTGGATTTACTAACTTTGCTTCCTTTTCTCTCTCTGTCCTTGGTCTTTTCAGAGCCTTACGTCTGTTTTATTCTCACGACATTCGTGTCCCTCCGTCCAGTGTTTGGTCTCATTATGGCCTGTGGATGCCTTGAGTATGTCCGTGTAGAGATGACTTCTGTCCTTCCACTGATCCTTCATTCTCTTGGTCACCTGTGTCTTCCTTCCCCCGAATCTGGGTTTTAACTTCTAGAAGCAGAGAGACCGGGGGAAGCCGGGAGAGCTGCAATAAATCTCTCTTTAGGAAAGCTTGGCAGAAGCTCCAATGGGCTCATAGTTGAAAAGGGGGTTCACGGACAAATCGTAACAGCAATAAATATTTGTTGAATGACTAAGCTTTTAATAACTGAAGGGACTGTCTCTCAGAAAGGCTTTTCCGCGAAGCTACTTTAAAAGAGGCAATAAAAACAGGGAAAGTTGGACTATAAATTAAACTTTTCACGTTGTTCATTTGAATTAAGTCACTCAACAAATATTTATCAGTCTGCCCGTTGATACCAGACACGGTGCAGGTTCCTTCTGAGGGATACACTAGTTATCTCTAGTTATGTAACAAATTAACCCAAAACTTGGCAGGTTGAGACGACACACACTTATGATCTCACAGTTTCTGAGAGTCAGGAAGCTGAGCACAGCTTAGCTTTCAGGGTCTCTTTAAAA